TTAACAGAAATGTACAAACTAAAGCAGTACATAACAACATCAAAGAAATTGTATTTGAATATAAACAACGAGCAGTGAAACGGAAAGCAAAAGAACGTGCAGAAGCACAGCGAGTGGTACAACGAAAAGTTATAGAACTGTTAATGAAAGACAACCATAATCACTACAAATGTCCTGGTTGTGTTAAAAAGTATAAACCTCAAGGTATCACGAATCACGTAAAAGCGTGTATTAAAGCAAGAGATTGGTGTAAAAAGAACAAAATTGGATAACAAAGCAGCAAATTGAACAACACCTATTGGAACTGGAACTGAGAGAACAATGATGGCTGTTATTTAAACTGGTTTACCAAAGGGTAATAGCCTGATGGATTTTCCTTGGCTCCTATTTCGATAGCGATCATCTGAACACTCATCGACAATATAAAAACACTGACATTTTTTTTTCGTTCTTTTTGTTTTTAATTTCTTTTTTATGTGTTTGTGTATATTTTTTTTTGTTTCTCACTCTACACTGGAAACGGTAAACGGGTCTATAATAATAAAAATAATAAGATTTTATAACTTTGATTTTTATGTTTCGTTAATCATAGCTTTAAAAATTTATCAATTGACAAATACTTTCTATCAGTTACCTACTACTATAAATCATGTCAATTTTTTTATTTCTTTTCTTTAACAATAAAATTCTATTAAAGATAAGAACTGAAAAAGAAAATGATCATTTTAAAAAAGTAGAATAATAAAATATATTCTTTTTCTATTGTTTTAACTCACTATCTTTCTTTATTTGTCCTTCATAAGAACGTTAATGGATTATACAAAATCTAATAGATAAATAATTTTTAGTTGTTCTATCAGTTTTTTTTTCTTTCTTCATTATGATTAGAAGAAACTATTCCACTATTTGTACAAAGTAACAACATAAATTTTATATTTTTTTTCTAAGGAAATTATCATTCATTCGATTGAATGTTAAGTTGTTTGTATCTTATGAAATAGATTTAACTTGATCGATTTTTAATATTTAGATGTCTGAAGAATCAAATGCGTCTGGACTACAATCTACTACAATGATCAGATCAGTTACAAAAAAAATGTTTTATACTCAAGTGGGATTACTTATTTTGTTTTCAATTACAATAATTATTCTTAGTTCGATTGCATTAAGTATTTTAATCAATCATATAAATTCAAGAGATGCAGATAAATCTCTAGATAATAATGAATTATTGTCATTTTCTAATCAAATAAAAATTGATGATTTAATTTATCATCTAAAACAACTTCAAATAATTGCTGATCAAAGTAATGGAACACGAGCAATTGGAACTCCAGGATTTGATGGTACACTTAATTATATTATCGAACAATTAGAACAACATACAAATTTAATTGTTCGACATGAATATTTTACATTGAAAAATTGTGCAGTTCAAGGAACACCACAATTACAATCTCAAATTAATGGTTTCATTGAAAATCATACTCATTTAATAGATTTTGCACATATTCTATTTACACCTGGAGCCAATTTTGATTCTTTTGTTCGATTAATCTCAATACCAAATCTTGGTTGTGAAGATTCTGATTGGATGAATATATCAGTGACAGATGCTATTGTATTAGTCAAACGTGGTGTTTGTACATTTCCAGATAAGACACAACTGGCAGAAAAATATCGTGCTAAAGGATTACTTATGTACAATGATGGAGCTGCATCAGATCGTTTTCAAACAGTTCGATATGTTAGAAGTCATCTAAATGCAACAATTCCAGGTTATTTCCTATCATATTATTTAGGAATGAAGTTGGTTAATGCAATATCAAATTCAAGTACAAATACCAGTATAAAAATGATATTTGATGTACGTGATGCAGAAATTGGAAATATTTGTGCTGATACACCAACAGGAAATAAAGCTGCAACAATTGTTGTCGGTGCACATAGTGATGGTGTATTAGATGGAAGTGGAATTAATGATAACGGTAAAAGAATATATTTTATCGAAAGTCGTTTATTTATTGAATTATTATTTAGGTAGTGGTTCAGTTGGTATTTTGGTTTTAGCTCTTAATTTAGCTCGTTTATTTGAAATGACTTCATTAAACTATGCTCAATTTTTATATCGTGTTCGATTTTGTTGGTGGGGTGCAGAAGAAGTTGGTCTTCTTGGTTCTATTTATCATGTTGAACAAGCATCATTGCCTACTGCTACTATTGAAAATGGACGTCTACAAGATTATTTAGTTTATTTCAATTATGATATGTTAGCTTCTCCTAATAGTAATTTTGGTATTCTTGATAGTATATCAATTCCACCAGAAACACCTAACAAAACTCTACCTGGCACTAATCGAATTACGAATTTATTTCAGCAATGGTTTAATGAACAAAAACTTCCATGGACAAGATCAGGTATTGGAGGTGGTAGTGATTTTGTACCATTTTTAACTGGTGGTATAGCTTCTGGTGGAGTAAATACAGGTGCTGGTGGATTAAAATCAGCAACTGAACGAGATCAATATGCAGATTTATTAGGAACAGGTAATAGTGGATTAGCTAATGTTGCATATGATTCATGTTATCATCAACAATGTGATCGAATAAATAATGTAAATCCATTTGCATATGAAAAAGTTGTTAAAGCAGCTGCTTATGCTATTGAATATATGGGAAGATTGAATGATTTAGAAAATTGGCTTTATCCACAAGGACGAGTACAGAATTTAAATTCTTTTAATAAAAAACATATCTATAATATTCATTATGATTCTGATCTTTTTTGAATATAAATAAATTATTCATAATGTCTTTTAATATGAACTACTTCGAAAAAAAACCACCATTTAATGAAATGTTTGAAGATTTTTATTGAAAAATTATTGACATTTAGTCAAAAGGTTGGTCGTAGAAACGTCGAAAGAAAAAATGTCGAAATTTGGCTAATATCGAAGAATGTTGTCGTCTGTTAGCGCTGACTTTAATTCCCTACAGTTTATCATTGGTATTCTCAGTCTTCTATTGGTCTAGCACTATAAACAATAGTAACAATGAAGAGTGGTATCTGATAGAGAAGAAGTGAAATAGTCAGAAATATAATATTATACACCTGAAAATCTGTTATCATGACCACAGTTGCTTCATCTTCATTAGATAAAAAACAACCATCATCATCGGGGATTTCATTTATTCAGTCATAAAAAGAAAAATCTTTGCTTGTATCAGATAAATACCTTTTCAAATTGAAAAAATCAACAATAACTGCAAAATATACGATATGTACACCATCCACACTCAGCAATATTCCTACAAATATAAACAATGATTTCATTGAGATGGGTATGAGTGTAGATGTTTGTGTAGGGGGTGAGTATATGGCATGTACGTATGAATGTGAAAGTCCTTTGAATGCACACTCCACACTCTCATGTGTTTTACTCAAAAATTTCGATATTTTTTCTTTCGGCGTTTCTACGGTATACCTGTAAAAATAAATCCGAGTGTTATGTGTACTTCAAAAAGTGAACAGGTATATTCACTTTGTTTTTTATCCTCTGAGACATATCTACCCTATTTGCTTTCTCCATGCAGTTTTAGACCTTTTTCAGGCGATGTTTTGTTAGAAAGCTATGATTTGGTTCAAAATTAATATCAGATTCGGAATCACCGTTAAAAACTGAGTCGATTTATATCACTTTTGAAGAATTCTGAGAAATTTTTTTTCCTGAAAAAATCCCTGTACTCCCCCTCAGGGATGGTCTTCTCAATAATGACAATTTTTTCGATAACTCAGCCATTTCTTGACGGATCCTTCTCATCTTCGAACTCAACCGAGACATTGTTAAAACTGAACTGTGTGGAAAGTTCCATCGCGATTGGACTCTCCTTTCGAAAGTTTTCGTGTAAACGGACGGCCGGACACACTGACCGATTCTAGTGTGTACTCAGTTTTTGAGTACACAAAAAAGACATATCGAATTGAAATATATATTTCAAAGAATACACTAAACTAGATGTTGTGATTTTTTTTCTTAACATTTAAATTTTATGAATAGTTTATAAAAATAAAAATATTGCCTTTTGAATAATCTTCTTTAATGCTATAAGTTGATAAGTTGACTTATCTTTACAGAAGCTTAAGAGAATTTATTAAAACATTCATCAACAAATTACAATCACTATTCTATCTAGAATAAATATAAATTATTAACATTGATTGAAATTCAAGATATAATTATTCCTGTTTTATTCTTGATGTTAACATCTAAAGATAAATTCAGAAACCTGTTATTTGTATTACGTAATGATCTGGTACGGTAATCGATCAAATTTATTAGTTTTTCCACAAAAATTATATTTACATTGAAGAAAATCATGCGAAAATAAAAAGCGTCAAACTTGTTTCATGTCAATTGTTACGAATTATTGCATTAAAGTAGCTTTCATATTATTTTAAATAATATAAGCGTTGTGTAAACAAAAAAAAGAAACTATCGTATATGACAAAGAATACAGAACTGTTAATCTTTATATGTTCATTTAAATTTTCAATAAAACATAAATCAAAGATTGATTAAATTCTGATTTTCTTCTTGAATTGTTTCAGCAAGTGTTGTCAACCGTTGTTTAAATTTTGATGGAGCGCGAACCATAACACTAAAAGTAAGATTTCCAATTGTGAACAATCGAATAGGTACTGGTGAATTATTATTTGTCGATTGTGATTCAATAGAATTTTCATTATTAGATTCAGATAAATCAGAATTATTGTCAACATCTGTTAATAATGCAGTTGTTTCATTAATTATTGATGATGTATTTGATAAACGATATTTGAAAATATAGAGGCATCTATGTATATAGATTTTTTTTTGTTTTTTTTAAGCAAATATTTTAAATATAACTTACATGCTAATAATCAATGTGATAAAACTAAATCCACCAGCTACAAATAAAATAATATTTTTATGTTGATATGTTGTATCCATAAAAATCCATTTAAAAACATAATCACCAAATGATGTAATTAATTGATTAATAACAAAAATAAACATAAATGCAATATTAATTTCAGTTGGTTTTAACCATTTTGATAATATTGATAAAGTCAATGGATTTTGATAATTAGCAAATGAATAAAATATACTATTACTAAATACTTGCCAATTATGTTTTGCTAAAGATGTCCAAATATGTGTTATAAGTAAAAAAACTATTACTAATAATACAGATCAATATATCATTTGATTTTGTTAATCGAATTAATATATGATAACCAATAATACTGAAAATTCCAAGACATATACTCATTTCAAACTTATAAATATTAATTAATAATAATGACCAACAAATAGGATATGTAGTAAGTGCCATATAAAATGCTGAAACTACTGAATTTGCTAATGCATAAAAACCATATGTAATCAAAGTTAATAAAACTCCAATTTTTTGTTGAGTACTTCGATGATTTCCATAGAAAATAATAAATAAATCAAAATTAAGTTTAAATCGATTTTTTATTTTCATATTTGTATGATTATAAAGTGTTAAATCAAAATATCATATAATAACACCAATTGAAATTAATTGTAAAATAAATGCAAACCAAAATAATCCAATATAACCAAAATGTTGAACAAAATAATAAATTAAAAATGTTATTAAACCTATTAGTGTATTTCTTAATGCATAAAGACGAACAAACCATAATGATCGATTATTTACATTTGTTAAATCAACAATAATCAAAGCAATAAGGGGTCATCTACGAAGGACGTCCAAGTAAAAGGGGGAAGTGTGGGTGTGGGGTGTGAGTGTGGGTGTGGGTGTGGGTGTGGGTGTGGATGTGGGTGTGTGGGTGTGGGGGTGGGTGTGGGTGGGGGTGGGTGGGCGT